ACAATGGGTGAACGGGCAGTGATAGAGATCCTTCTCAACCGAATTAAATCAATATCCAATCAATGTCCCAAGAGGAGGTTGGGATTTAAAGACATAATACTTTATATTCATATTTACTTTTTGCAGGGTCTCTTTTTTTAAATAGATGCAATTCGATTGACGTCAAATTTTGTTTGCAGTCCAATAGAAAATAAAAATAGCTTTCAGAACTGTTCACAGAGCCCAGATGGAGTTTGTGCATATGCATTCATATTCTGACTTTTGCTGATATTGTAATGTCTGGATCCTGTTTACAGGCTCTCCTTTATAGCAAATATGCTGAGCATGAGGATTAGCATATTACAATATTATTCTGCATATTTCTACATGTAAATTACTGGGAACGGCATACTGTGAATCGGTTGTTATGTTTAGACTCAGCAAGCTTGCCATGTGTAGGTAGCATATCCAAAACAAGACTTTGAATAAAAGGCAGACGGATAATGCAACAACTAAAACCGGTTTATATTTCACATACCTCTGCATGATTGATTACCAGACATTCCTGGATGCGACAGATGCAGTTTAGCTATTTGTTAACAAGGCAAAATACAAGAGCAGTACTTTTGAGATGCACTATTAAGAATGAAGATTAATAGATGGAAAAACAGTGTTACTAAACTAGATTTAATTTTAAAGCTGGACTTTAAACGGAGGAGAATCGTGGGCGCTGCCTCCCACATCCAAACATCACCATTGAGCTTTTAACATGCCACTGGCCTGACCAAATGTGCTAATCGCTTTATTTCCACTGTTGCGCTCTGGGAGATAGTGATTGGTGTTTTGAGCATGTTCCTACTTTCACCTGAGGGCTGAATGAATAAAAGATTGTACATGGTGACCAGTGATCGACAGCTGAAATCATATCACACACACAACAACATGAGCTGAGTCACCAACAAAACCACCGTGAAAACTAATTTGCTCAATAAAAACGTTAAAAAAAATAGCAAACTATTAGCTGGTTTTAGCCATTATTGGCAGGAAATCACTTGCAGGCTCTTTGTCTAATTGTTTATTGGTCTCCTGCATTGACCTGGAGAATTTTTGCTTCGACTTGCTATAACAATGCAGTTTTGAGGGCTTTCTTACTCACTTGACCCTTTCCTTAACCATTTATCTCTTAGCCAACCATCTGTGGATTTGCTTAACTGTTTTGGGTCATTATCCTGTTGCAGGCTCTCCACATATTGCTGTTTCAGTTGGTTTCACTTCAGTTTAAGACAGATGAATAATACCTGGAACATCACTAGACAATTAAATTAACTTGGGAAGATACAGAAGACATTCTACTGCAGTTTGTAGACTGGAACAGAACTGAATTCAGAAATAAAGAAGAGGCTCCCTTACAAATCATCAGTGTAAATGTAAATTGGCCACACCCTAAAGGAAGTTAAATTGAAATTACTGGAAGTGAAAATTAAGTGTTCTTCCAACCTGGTCTAAAAATTATTAAAGGAGTAGTTCACTTCCAGAATGAAAATTCCCCGATAATTTTCTCACCCCCATGTCATCCAAGATGTTTGTGTCTTTCTTTCTTCAGTCGAAAAGAAATTAAGGTTTTTGAGGAAAAGGATTTTTCCCCATATAGTGGATTTCAATGATGGCCAATGGGCTGAAGGTCCAAACTGCAGTTTCAATTCAGCTTCAAAGGGCTCTACACGATCCCAGCCGAGGAATAAGAGTCTTATCTAGCAAAACGTAAAAAAAAAAAATACAAATGTATATACTTTTTAACCACAAATGCTCGTCTTGCACTAGCTCGACCTCACGCATTACGTAATCACGCACACGGGACGTAGGAAGTTCGAACGTGCAAAGAAAGTCAAAAGCCATTTACAAAAAAAGGTAAAATAATGATGTCAGACGATCCTGAAGTTGGAGGAGAAAATGAGATTTTTTTTCGCCCTATACCTTTTTTAACCAAAGTACACAAAGAACTAACCGCATGTGACTTTTCCAACATGATTACGCAATACGTGAAGACGCACATGTGCATCGCAGAGCTAGTATATATATGTTTTTATTTTTTTAGAAAATGTTTTTCAGACTCAACAAACTGTAGAAGACATGTAATGTATAGAGCCTAACTCATTTCTTGACAAACTTTCCCTCCTTGGTTAAAAATGTCACTTTTTGCTCTTATACTGTATATAATTTATTTTTGAATTCTACTCACTACACTAAAATTCTATTCAAATTGCAATTCTGCATCCAGTTCAAATTCAGGAATTTAACTGGAATTTGAAAAGCATTCTCAATAAATTACAAATGGAGCACATTTCTGCTATGGAATATATATACGAGGGACCACACAATGATTGATTTGTTTGACATATGATCAATATTTCAAAGCTTCATTCAACACAACCGCATGAGCACATCACATCTGGCAAGAAAAACACAACAGCATGTCAATGCTGAGAGCTTGGCACAAACCATGAGATTTCTCCTTCAGGGAGTCGACCTCTGGTCGTAAGAAGCCATGAGGAACAGGCTTACTGTCATTCATAAACCGGTTTTCATGTACTGGAGTACTCACACTCTCTAGCCAACCCGCTATGACTCCTCTTTTCTTTTGAACAACAATGGAACACAAATAAGAGATAATTCACCCCAAAATGATAATGCTTTGAAAACTTTGAAAAGATTTGCTTCACATTTGGATGGAAACCCAGCTACTGATGTTATGTTTGAATAGGAAATTAGATGTGACAGATACGTTGGAGAAGTTAAATTTCAGTCTATTCTTCACACAAAACGATATGATTTTCAGATTTTGATAACGCTTTTCAGGGTTGAACAGTGTTAAAGGGGTCATGAACTGCCTCTATTTTTTTATTTATTTTGTACCGTTCTCTGAGGTCCACTTATAATGTTATCAAGATTTTTTTTAAATATATATTTAGAAGTATTTTCTGTCCTGTTTTTAACCCCCCTCATCAGAACGCTCTGTTTGAATAGGCGTGGCTGATTTTAGACTCGGAAGTAAACACCCACTGCTATGATTGGCTAACAGTTGTGTATGTTTGACAACCTACATCCCTCACAGATGGACGCTGCAGTGATTTCGGTTAAAAACGCATAATTACTCATATCAAACGATCTGTTTAACAGACAAAGCAATAGTGATCACGTAATAAAAACAGTTACTCGCACTTGTGTGGTGCGAGTCAACATCGGATCCAATATAGCCGGCACATCATCGTCTTTTAGTTTCAATCTTTCTAAATCCTGCAACAAATTGTGCCTTTTTTTAAACGAATCCGCAGTAAAATGAACTGAACAAAGGACCAAGTTCTTATTGACGCGGTCTGGCACTTCATTAAAAATAAAGTTTATCGTTTGGTTTCTGTGTAGACCTGTGTTTGCTGCTCTTGTCATTTACCTACTACGTGCACGAATCAGTGGGTGTGGCTAAACAGGAAGTGATGTACAAGCAGGCGTGGATCTTCTTCTGCTGAGGTGATGTTTAGCCACACTATTACGTCATAAAGTGGCACAATCCACAACCTGTCATTTTGGCAGATCTGCTTCAATATAAGCTGTTTTTATACTAACGAGAAAGTTGAATTCTGAAACTTACAGAATGTTTTTATCCCACAATGACCTTTTATTTGTCAAAAGATCAAGAGAATTTTGATTTCTCAGTTCATGACCCCTTTAAAATTCAGTCTGCTACCAATGAATTATAATTATGTTCAAGTTATGGCCAATAACTGTTAATTTAATCACAATTAAAAATCCAATCTTGATAAATACACAAACAAAATGTGATAACCAATATAGTACAAATATATATTGTGCATCACAAGCCCTAGTAATCATTCAGTTTCATTATATGGAAATTTTGAACATTCTGTCTAACATCATCTTTTGTGTTCAATGGAAGAAGAAAAAAAACATTATGGGTTTGAGACAATATGAAGAAGTGTAAATGATGACAGTTTTATGCTAACACATTATGCTACATGAAAAATATTCTGTATGCAGGAGCAAAAAGACAAATTATTGCTCAGCTATCTGTGAATATGAAATCAAATAAATAAATAAATACATTCTTCCATCTAGATAAGCAATGACTGGAGAAAAAAGCCACACAGCAGAGAGCACGTGGACATCCACACATATAAAAGCACATTCACCAGACACGTGTCATTTACCAGATAAAAAGGATGAACTGCCCATTGTTTTACAGCCTCATGGGAACACACTCAAAATCTCATTCAGCTGAGAATATCGCTGAAGTCAGCTTAAACGCTGGAGTAAGACGTGCACACTCAAGTGCGATGCCTTAAGACAGATGCCGCAGCTAATATAAAAATGCAAGTATCTTAAAACTGAGACAGATTATATGTATCGCCATCTCATTTCAAACCACTGAACTGCCAGTAACAGAGAGCATCAGGGTCGCTTCTCTAATGTGTGCTGAGACATGCTGTAAACACTGGAGGATCATGACGCTTTGCAGTTTTGCGGCAGCCTCTTGAGACCGTTTACTGAGAAGCGACGGTGAGCATAATGACACTGGCCACACTGCTTGACCCAGGAAATAAATCATCGGACAGCTGTGGCCAATCTAAATCTGTGCGCCGACTAATGGCAGAACATGGCGCTATGATGAGCGTAGAGGACGCCCAAAACACCTCATTTATTTCATTCAGGATATTGGATCAGTGTTTTTGTTTGTTTGTTTATAATTTACTGTAATGCCATTCCAGCTACCACTGCTATTTTCATGACGAGAAACAAATGGTTAGGCTAAAATGTTACAAAATGTGAAAAGAAAAAAAATTATTTACAAAATTATTTTGAGCTTATCGATGACAGATCTAAAACTAAATCTCACCTCCCTTCATTAAAAATCTTTTCACATGCATCAAACCAATGAGAGTCTATTAAAATATGCCTCAAAGTTATTAGACTCTAGAATAAGGAGCATATAAGGAGGATCTTTACCGGTTTGTTGAGTCAGTGTAGAACTCATCATGGCTATAAAGACAAAAAATGTGGCATGTTACTCAAAGCTCTGAAATATGCAATTACATTAATAGAACATTTCATGGCATTATTTACTCTACATATTTTTACTTATGTCATTCCAATTATTTCATTTCATAGTACACATAAGGCAGAATTTCCACATTGTATTGCACATGCCAAATATGGGCTGCTTTATGGGATTTTTGTCCTTTCTTATCATTATATAGAAAATAGCTACATTTACTTATGCATTTGGCAGATGGGTTTGTCCAATGTGACTTAGATTGCAATCAAGCTAAAGATTTTTTCAATTCATTCATTTCCTGGGAATCAAAACCATGACTTGGGCGTAGTTGGCACCATACTCTACTGTTTGAGCTAGAGGAAGCTAAACAAAGACTCTTCTAAATCCTATTTTTCTAAATGAACTGATGAAGTAAAATCATACTCGAGTTTTATGAGAATAAACAACAGCTCCCTGTCAGATTTTGTTACCTAAAACTACTACTAAAAATTGTTGTTAATTGAAACAAAGCTGAAGTGAAGTATAAATATTAGCTGAAAAACCTAAGCTTAAAAAAGTACAAAAAAAGATATTTCATTAAATTAATAAAAATGTTGTGTTGGCAACTAACCGAAAAGTTGAAGTACTGTAACTATACAAAAAGAAAAAAATACAAATAACAAAAGCACATAACAAAATTACTAAAATTAAACTTAAAATGAAAACTCAAAATATAAAAATAAAAGCTTTAAACAACATATTAATGAATAATATATATCATATAATTAATGCTAATATAACACTGCATTCTACAAAGAACAAATAATTTGTAAAATGACAAAAAAGGCATGGACATCAACACACAGACTGCATAATAGAATGCATTAACACTAATAATGATGAGGTGGCCTTGTAACAAGTTGTCACACACTGTACTGTAGGTTTGGCTGTGTTTCTTTCTTGCAAATTTCGAGGCTCAGGTAAAAGAACGGCTGCTGTAAATGGATAAAAGGCATAAAAGAAAGGATATACCTCTTTTCTTGAGAGTGGACCTGAGGGTACACATCAGTCCTGTCGTACAATGAACTTGTCAGATCGGAGGGACTGTGAAATTGAAAATATCAAAAGGTTTTGTCCAGTAACAAAAACGTGAAATTGAACACAAGCTGGAATACCCTGCAGCACACAAATCATTGGTCACAAACTGGAAAGCTGAGGAAATTGTTTATTTAGCAACTCTTTTTTTATAATGCTATTATAATTAAAGTGAACTGTGTAAATAAATGCACACAGAAGCAATTACTAAACGAGACATGCACACCTACAAAGCAGATAAGCATTTTAAAAGTGATACCTAAATATTCTAAATAAAGTTGTTTACTCAATGGGGCAGTTTTTTTTTTCTTTACTTTTTCGCTTTTAAAGCTCTGACTTAATTCAGCAATTCACACTGCAATTCTATCAGACTGTTTGATGACTGCGCACGATGACCTTTCACAGCGAATGGCAGTCCAAACATATGAGTCACTTCATAATAATATACCCAACTCTCATACTTATCACTCACGGATGAAGGTATACCAAACAAGATAATAAATGGCTGTTAACATTTTACCTCTCAACATGGTCTCTATTAATATGTAACTCCTTTGGGAAAGCTTTCAGATGCACCATCTTTGGTTAAAGTGGGTCATAATCAACAGGACCAAGAGTCAGTGCACACAGTTCTGTGATCTATATTGATGGGTTATTGAGTATGTTTCAAATCTCCTGCTGATGTAGTGCTTACATAGGCAATGAAACCAGAGGGGTTCTCGTCTACAAAAGAGGGTCTATGATCATGAACATTAGGGAACACTAAACAACAAGATGTTTAAATGTTCACAGAGTTTTAACCAGCTTTGTATTGCTCTAACTTCGTTGATGTATGTAAATGAACCTATACCAAGGTGTATGTAAACATGACCTATACCGAGATATCCCTGTTTATTTGTCATCCACTCCGCTGGATGATGCAAAACAAGTCATAATGCACTATTCTACCAAACTTTTTAAAAGCTCGGGCTTTTGTTAAAACTACAGATCGATTTTCCACATTTTTGCATTTCCACCCACAGACAGTTAGATCGATAGAGGGGTGGCAACAAAACCAAGTGCAATATGGGTGTGTTGAGGTTTTTGGCTAAAGGGAACACCACAATTTTCACTCAGAAATTGCTAGTACATAAATATTTACCAAAAAAGTAAGATTTGAATTAATAGTGAAATTTTGATTAAAAGGCTAATTTTTTTCTCTCTTTTTTTTGTAAAAAGTACTCCAATTATCAGCGTTTTATTTACAACACTGATTTTTATTACAGTGATTAAAAAATATTATTCTGCATAGACAGGCAACATTATTAAAAGCCCATCTTGCCAACAGTGAATTCCCCCTTTAAAGAATAGTGAAAAGTTGCTGAAACTACTCACCCTCAGGCCATCCAAGATATAAATGAGTTTGTTTCTTCATCTGAAAAGATTTGGATAAATGTAGCATTATATCACTTGCTCACCAATGGCTGTTAACTGATCACACTCTGCAGTGAATGGGTGCCGTCAGAATGAGAGTCCAAACAGCTGATAAAAACATCACAGTAATCCACACCACTCCAGCCCATCAATGAATGTCTTGTAAAACAAGAAGCTAAGTGTACACAATAAACAAATCCATCATTATGGAGTTAACTTTAAACTGTCGCATTGGCCAAAATAAGATTCCATAATCCATAATAATGTTTTAGCCAGTGAAAAAGTTGTCCTGTTGTCCTCTCAGATCAAAATCCACCAACATATTTGTTTAGAACGGTTTTGGATTGTTTTCGCTTGTAAACAGTGCTTGTTCTGTGCATATTTCTCTCCTGATTCAGACAAGACACTTTCTTGGAGAAAACAATGGGATAGACGACTCGTATTTTAGCTGGAAGCAATTGCTTTAAAGGGGTCATATGATGCTATTTTAAAGATCATTATTTTGTGTATTTGGTGTAACAGAATATGTTGACATGCTTTAATGTTCAAAAAACACATTATTTTTCAAATACTGTACATTATTGTAGGTCCTCTATGCCCCGCCTCTCTCAAACACGTCGTTTTCAACAAAGCCCCCTCCTTCCGACAAGCGCAGTCTGCTCTGATTGGCCAGCTGACCCAGTGCATTGTGATTGGCCGAACACCACAAGCACGCGTCGGAAATGTAACGCCCCTTACCATAATCGCGAGCTTCAAGCTTTTAAAGTAAATATCAAGAGTCAAGACAGTTAATAATGTCGTTAGTTTTACCATCAGTTCAAACCCCTTAACTTTTATAAAGAATATCTCTTTGGATTTGAGACTTAAGTCTTTGCAACTTTACAGATCTTCTTTATGCACCAAGAGCTTGTAACACTCCAAAGAGAAAGGAAAACTTGAAATTGCATCATATGACCCCTTTAAAGTTAATATAGTCTCCTTGTGGTTTATTGTGATGTTTTTATCAGTCAGTTTGGACTCTCATTCTCATGGCACCCATTCACTGCAGAGGATCAAATTTCTTTAAATCTGTTCCAATGAAGAAACAAACTCATCTTCATCTTGGATGGCCTGAGGATGAGTAAATTTTCATTTTTGGGTGCTACTCCTTTAAGTTTAACCTAAGATCAACAGCTGTATCTGAACATCTTTCACACATGCAAATGTGATCAATTGGTTGCTCATTAGACAGTCACCATAAGAGGAGCAAAATTTCTGAAGCTGTAATAAATTCTAAAATTCAACGCAATAATTAATTAGCCACCAGTGAGCATGTCACATTAAAAGATCCAAGACTGATGAGTCTGACCTATAACAAAATATCTACGACATTTCCTCAAATTTGTCTCAAACAGCAAAACCATATTACACAGCAGGCTTAAGAGAAGCAGCAGCGCTCCCTTGTGTCAGTAACAAAAACTTCCAAAATGCCAAGTCAGTCAATTGACAATTTCTGATTTCAAATACTTTAGTAAGCTACATGAATAAAGTTCAGAAAATTATTCATTTGTGAGTACATAATTATTTTCAGCATATATTTATGCATCTCAATTGTTAAGCAGGATTGTCTCTATAACATCATATCATCATTCGTACAGCTTGCTCTGAAAAATGCATACTGGTCAACCACTACACACTCTAAATCTAGCCTACATGAAGCTATAATATTTTGGCAGTGGCACTTGATTGACAACACTTGTGCATAATACACACTACAACAAAACTCAATTATTTATTAAGGATACTCTCCTGAAAAGCATTAAGATGAAAATTGAATGTAGCACAGATATTAGCCTCTCATAATTTGCTGTTCTGTAATGGGTATCTGCAGGTGCAGCTCTTTAACATAATTGGCATTTTATGGCGGAAGCTAATTATTTAACTGTAGGCGTGACGAGCAATTAACATCCTCTCACCACCTGAACCCTGTGTCTTCTCTGGCCAGGTGTTTTGTGGATTTCAAAAGTGCATTTTACTGTAGATTGGGTGCAAGTATGGCTGAATCTACAGAAAATATCAATAAATAGCAATAACAAATGTCATGAGTTCTGACTGCTGCCTTATTTGGGTGAAAATAAGTGAAATCAAATCATACAAAGACATGAATTATATTGCAAAACGATCAGCATAAAGCAACCTGCAATGAAGCAAAACAACACTTGATATCAAACTATGCTGTGGACTGCTTCTTTGAAATAATATGCAAAACACCATAAAATATGTATCAATAAATCTAACAACATTGTAACGATTTAAAAACATGACATCACTAGGTTTCATGTTTAATTCATCAGTATCAGTAACAAGTCGTCTTGAAAATTAAAAATACATTTTCATGTTTTGTAACAGTGTCTAACTTTGCCATCTAAGAATATAATGTCACAAATCACAGTTGATTTAATTAATCAAATTGGAAATGTAAGTTCATAAATCAAGCGCATTCATTATGCGATTTTGACAGTAGCCTATGTAGTAGGGGATCTCTGATACTCTATAAACAAGGGAAAAAAGAGCTAACAAAATGTTATCTGTGTATTTCTGTTTTTTTGTCTGTATCTGTTTATTTCTGTGTAAATGTTATCTGTCCTTTAGTTAAAAAATAAATAACTTTACAAATTAAAATGTGACACATGAGACAGCCTATACACTTAAAAAGCAAAATAAATAGACTGAAACACTTACTGGCTATCCTGAAGGCTGACCTGACTTCCGTCCGCCACACGAGATTGAGCCCAGATGCTTTCCAATTAGTGTAAACTTCCGTACACGTCATAAATATCTGATGAAGACCTGCTGAAAACCTGCCAAGCGGCAAACACGTCATTGAAAGAACAAAATATTGCTCAAGTGTTATTAATAATAAAAAAAATAATAATAATCGAGGATGTCCAATGAAGGAGCAAAGAAGAAAGGTAAGGTACCTGGGGACAAAAAACCGTCTAAACGGAAAGCAAAGAGGAGGGAAACTTATGCAGTGTATATCTACAAAGTTTTGAAGCAGGTGAGAAAGTTTTCATAAATAATAAAGATGATCAAAGAACAATTACAAAACCGAGTGTGAATTTCAAGTGGATGACATGCGCTTGACGCCGCATGCGGTGCGTTTGCGTTCGATTCGTGAATCATTATTTTGAGTCGGATCTTTTCAGTGTATCGATCGAACTGATTCAAGGAACCGGTCTGAAAGAATCACTCGCCCTGCGTCTCAATGTTCATACTATTCATTCTAAATAGTATGTGAGATTAGAATAAGTGTGTCCCAAAGCATAGGTGTGTTGAAAAGAGTATGCCAAAAGTCCCCGGATGGTCTACTATTTCAGGTTGATTTTTGGAGTGTGGATCCGTGCACACTCTAATGGCTAATATTGCCCACAATCCATTGCGCTTTGGTGACGGATTCTGTCCAGAACTACAAACACGAATAAAACGCGCTAAAAATTACAAATATGGCAGATGTGCGCGACCGGCAGTTTAGAAAAAGGGGTTTGAGTTCCTAATATTCAACGTTTTAACCTGGTAAAAAAAAATATTTATTTAATGTTGTGTGTTGTATTTAATCTGCAACAGCAATGTTAAACTTTTTATAAACATCCGTTTGGTCGTTAACTTTTAAATGCATCATTATGCATAAAATATGAGCAGAGTTCTCGGCATGAAAGACCCGCGACTGGCAGACCAATGTGCTACTTTTCTCTCCAATACGTAGGAAGTTAAATGAAATTCAATGTGGAGGATGTTAACTGTGACAAGATGATTGACAAGCCAGTTTACAGTGACAGGGTGCGTGTATCTACGCGACAGAGCGTCCCTTAAAGACGCAGTTGTGTGACTTGATAGTATGTCCCCAAAGCTTGCCTACTCTTCTACTACACACTCAAAAGTGTGTACTTCACCAAAAGAGTACATACTTTAAGGGCGTAGTATAAGTATTTTGTCAGTACCCATGCGAAAACAATTTATATATATATATATATCTCTCTCTCTCAAAACGTGAAATAACATTTTCATCCAATAAATGTAAGTGTACTTTTGATGTAAATTGTATCTAGGTTCTAAATGGCTTTATGCAGTGAATTATGGCTGCCTGCAAATCAACAGGGACACACCTTTACAAATAAAATATAACCAGAAGACATAAACCGCGACTTTATTTAAACATTTTGCTCATGTAACGCAACGCACGAGCATAGAATGTGTAAAAAAAAAAAAAAAAACGCACCTATCAGAATCCCCATATGTGACTACCTAATGACGAAAAAGAATCACTGAATCGTTTTTTTTAACCTGATTCTTTGAAATTTGATTCGTTGTTTGGAAAACATCCTATAGTTTAGTTCAATGAACTACAGTAGTCAATATTTGAAGTGGATCAAAACCTTTCATCAAAGTTGTCCTAAAACCAAAATGCGTTCTTGTCTTAGGACAACTTTTATCTTTTTTGATCCACTTCAAATGTTGACTACTATACATGACCTAAAAACATACTGAATGTGTGACTTTAATCAAATTATGTGTGTGTATACATGTTCCTCCATAGGTTCATCCCGACACCGGTATCTCCAGCAGGGCGATGAGCATCATGAACTCGTTTGTTAATGATGTGTTCGAGCGCATCGCTACAGAGGCCTCACGGCTCGCTCACTATAACAAGAGGTCGACCATCACGAGCAGAGAGGTGCAGACCGCAGTCCGACTGCTGCTGCCCGGTGAACTCGCCAAACACGCCGTGTCAGAGGGCACCAAGGCCGTCACCAAATACACCAGCTCCAAGTGATCACCTGTGAGCTGTCCAAGAGCCGGAGGAGCCTTTCAGTTTAAAAAAAGTCATATGTAAAATGGGCCATGTTTGCAATCACTCTTCAATATTAATAAATGCACACAAAAAAATTCAGTGCAACTGTTCATTATCCTGAATTAGGAAACGAGAACAGAAGAACACAGCAAAGAGGAGAGAATGAGATTGATTGACCAATGACCACACCATATGTACAATGAATACCATGGTACTTATATGGTATATGTCCACAAACATGGGAATGGCATTCTGAGTTTTGTTAGTAAAATATGACTATTTAAAAAGTGTCCACCAGTGCCGTTACCATGGAGTTACTGAATTCAGTGAATACATAAAATACAATGAATACATGAAGTCATGAATTTACATAAATGTGAGTTGATGCATTTGATTCCTGATTTCAGATGTGTAATGAGGGTATAATTTATTTAAATGTGATTTAGTGACCAAGGAAAGTCTGAGTTTCTCACTAAAGCTGCTTGTTCTACTAAATGTCTCTAATTTAATAAAGGGTTTTAGAGTTTATAGAATGCAGTTTGCAGTGTGTAATATCATGCAGATCAGGGCCCTCTAGGTCTGTGACCCTGCATTTACTTACACCAAGTGATGTGCAGAAGTCACTCCGTAATGTGTTTTTGCCACTAGATGGAGTCATTGTAACACTATTGAGATTGGAGCAGGAATATTTCGCAATCTTCACAGAATCTCATAATATTGATTTTTTCAGGAGGTAGTGAGTGAAATAGTCACAGATTAGGATGGAATGGAGCAACACTTTCATATACCATGTGAGTATGTTTCCCACACTGGGTTAACTATTTGTATGGGCAAATTAATACAAATATGTTGAATCTAACAACCTATACAGCACAAATACAAAACCAAACAATTAGATGTCTGTGTTTCAAACAAAAGAAACCTAAGCATATCACGGTGACTGAAAAATATGATTATTTTTATATGATTCTTAGAAGCAAAAGTATATTGCCTGCACCGCAAAATAAAATAAAAATGTATGTGTGTGTGCGTATATAACAGCTAAATTATGTGTAGAGAAAAAAAATCACAAATAGACATTTCATTCATTTTCATGTATATTCTGTTAAAAAACGCATTCTGATTATATCTTTATGAATCAAAAATATATAATGTACATACAGTATTACTATATAATATATTATTATAATGTATAATACATATTTTAAAATATATGGCTTTTTGGTTGTTTTTTTAATCTGTAAGCGCCAAATTGCACTGTTTTATTATATTTTATTATTATTGTTTATTATTAACTAAATATATAGGAAATATGCCAGCTACTGTTGCTTCAAACCAATCACACATGCCTAAGGTGTCTAGCAAATTGTAATTAATAACTTTTACATAGATGCTGACAAATTTTCAATTTTGGTGGAGTAATTGGATTTTTCAACATGACACCCTGTGTCTGTGAAGCTTATTTATGGACATGAAACGATATTTATGGTGAAAGACACAAAGCTCGAGGTCGCACGCCTTGTGAGAGACACATGCATTTGATAAACCAGAATAAGTAGCTTTAAATACAATTTTATTTTCATATTTAAAATGCTGAAATAATAACTTGTCCATTTTACAGTCTAGTAGCTGACCAATGAAGTATTTCACAAGGGGGAAGCTTTGGTGAAAACAAATCATGCTTTGTCCTTCATTAATCAGGGAAGTCTGAGGAACACTGGGCCCCGACATGATGTTTCGTATTCCCAGCCCTCCCTCTCTGGCTCCTACGATAAGCCTTACTGATGATCTTATATATGCTAATGATGGCATGTCTATGGACATATTACAGCGAGGGTGATGGTGTCATTAATGACAATGTCTTAAGCGTTATCGTCATCATCACCATGTTCCCCTTGATCTTGCGGTTCCCTCATAGATCCCCATGTGCTCATTTCATTTCTGCACACACAATCTCTCTCTCCCTCTCCCTCTCTCTTTTGGGTGGTATAAGCACATTACGGATGGGGACATTAGTAACTAATGCAGGCGCTGGGCCCCGCATTGTTTTGGTGCACAAGTACATCATTAGAAAATGTTCTACTTGGCAGGGAAGCGTGTATTAACTCGGCTCGCAATAAAATGAGGTTGTGATCAATTGTTAAAGTTATCGAGAGCTATTAGGTTGAAATATGACCCTCTCAATTGCCATAATGAAGAGGGTGCCCGATCGTACACAATCAACAGAGCAACATACACCGTGCATTGTGGTTTCCGGGCGCTCGAAAGAACGACAGAAAGCAATTTTGCAGAAAGAAAATGCAAGCGTGTCAGCCTAACCTCATTACAAATTTCACCTCATTACTAAATTTCAATAATCTACTCAAAACGTTAGGACCAACCAGCTATAAAACAGAATTGCCAGCTTTTTTTGAGCAACGGGACAATGCGGCTATCATAAACGCCAGTCTCGTGAAGAATTATGTCTCATAATGCCAGCTAACTTTTGATGGCGGCGCCAACGTTGAATCACGATTTTGGCAAACTTGCTGCATAAATTAATTTTATATAATATTCTCTACTGAGGCATATTGATGAGTCTTAGCCTTGGAAATTCAATTAATCCCCCAAAGTTAATGTTTCGGAACTGAACAGAGCCCAATCTTGAGGATAGCAAAGGAAGATGCTGTCTGGTACCACATTAAAGTTGCTGTTGTATTGTTAGAGCAACTCAAAATTATTACAACTTGTATATCAGCCTACAGCACCTTCTTTTATGACGATATACATGATGGAACAATTCAGAATAATGACTTTGTAAGTTATTTTAAAGATATATTAGTACATATTCTCACTAAACAAGACCAATATTTGCTCATACTGCCACCCTAATACACTACTGTTCAAAAGTTTGGGGTCAGTAACTTTTTTTTTAAGCAAATTAATACTTTTGTTAATCAAGGATGCATTAAAATGATCATAAGTGACATTACAGATATTTATAATGTTACTTAAGATTTATATTTCAAATAAACACTGTTCTTGTGAACTTTCTCATTCAAACAATGTTGAAACACAAAAAAACAGTTTCCACAAAAAAAATTTAAAATAAAAAGTTAGAAGCATATTAGAATGATTTCCAAAGGATCACGTGACTGGAGTAATTCAGCTTTTCCGTCACAGAAATAAATTACATTTTATAATATATTAGAATAGAAAAGAGTTATTTTAATTTGCAATAATATTTCACAATATTGCTGTTTTTACTGAAATTTTAAACAAATAAATGCAGCCCTGGTAGTAAATCTTATATTAGCCATCCCCATTGTTTCATATTGACATGAGTCTTAAACAGTGAGGAACCACCAGGTTATTCTTTAAGAAACAGTTCATGGTCATTTATGAGTCTGAAGGACTAACTGTATTTGCACCACTAGGACCACCTTCTCCACTGAAAGATTCGGGACTTCCTTGGAATTCAGCAAAAGTTCATCCAGGTCTCAAAATAGGATCATCATGACTGTCTGCAACATCATTTGCTGTAGGTAAGTGGCCGGAAACTCCTGCATGAAGTACAGTAGATGTTCACTTTACTGAACAAACCACAAACTAATACTCTTGAAGGCTTCTTGATGTTCTTCGATCCGTCTTTGCTTCATCAGAGCAGTTTTCATCTCATCCCACCATTCTGGATTTTCGCATTCAAAGCTCACAGCGCCATTTAGACAGCATTCAAACAGCTCATAATCATGTTGGTTATTCCTCGAAAAATATTCATTGTTATCAATTAGTTTCAACCAATTAGCTTGCATTTCTAATTCTTGGTCTGCTCTTTGTTCCTTTAATTAGTAAATTCATTAGTACCGTCTAGCGTCGCATGCCAAATAGATGTTTCATCAATGTATTCTTATGATTTTAACATGAGGCGCAGCGGTGATGGCAGTATTAAGTGGGAGATAATCAGCAGGAACTAATTGTCTAATTGCACTGATGAAGGTTACCATCATTAGCCTGTTCTGGAAGTCCGGTCCTCAGCAGCGAGCGGACCATCCTAACCCTACAGATGGCCTCACTGTTAAGCTCACGGCAGGACAAAATGACAGACATCTTCTATCCACGGGGAGCAAGACAAACGAGTGTGTGTCTGCGTACGTGCATATGTATATGCGTGTGTGTGTTGTCCGCAGGGAGTAAGACGAACGAGTCGAGGGAGTGCTGATTCAATGCACTTCTTTCTTTTTCTTGCTTGAGAAAGTCCCTGCCTCCACAAAAATTGAATGTCCACCATTTGAGAAATGAATTCATGGAAGTCACTGTCTTTTTTCCCCATTAGTAAGTGTTTAGTTCAACGTTTTAAATAATTGCGTTACAAGGAATGATATTTAAAATACATTTGGGAGGCAATGGGGCGGGAAAGTGCCTACATGTTTTGCTGATGATACCCGGGCCATTGGGGGGGGAAGAGATGGCTGATCGTCATTTAAGAAATTATATTCGTAATTATTGCATTATGATGCATTTTTTATATTGAGGAAACATACAAAGATAAATAGACGAGAGATGAGAATGCATTTTAAATTCAAATTTAAAGTTCCTGATTTTGAATTGAACTGAGGTAGCAAGCAAGATGAAGAATTGCAATTTGAATTTGAATCTAGAAATGAAGTGAAATTAAAAAGGAAATAATTTAACTCATACAAAATAAAGAAACATTAACTAGAAAAGCTACAAAGTCTTATTTAAAAGTTTTGAAAATGATTTAAAATGCTTTGAAAGTTTAAAGGATAGATAGATAGATGAAAAGAGTGACAATTATAAAATTTTGAATATTTCTGAAATAAAAACTGTATAAATAAATTCTGAAATAACTCTGACAGATAGGTTGAAAAGCATTGCAAAAATCAAATGAATTCAAATGTTTTTAACGTCACTGACTTCGTAATTCATGAACACATAATATAATTATGAGTATATGAAGCACCGAATACAGTATATATTGATCTGAAAAGTATCCATAAATGCTGTTATTAAATACTAGCAAGGTTTTCCGCAGAGCTGACCTGTTTTGATATAAACAGCAAGTCACTGTAGCTGTTATATCCCACACATGTGACTCTGTAAAAATAGTCCCGTTTGCACGTGGCCAAGTTCCTACTCGGATATCAAAACAAGCCCAGAGAGCAACAGCAGAAGGCCATTTAAAAGATCTCAGGCCTTTTAGTGTCTCGACCAAAAGAATTCTAAGAAGCTAGTGTGAAGTCACAATCAGCTTCATGTCTAGAAGGAGTCTCATGTATAATCCAAGCTCTCTGTACTTTTTAGAGCAGGAAAGGCACCAGATGAGACTGGCTGCCCCAGTTCTCAGTGGCTACCTGCTGAGGAAAGAAGCCAGAGGGACATCTTCGAGGCAGACCGTGGGAAACCCTCCGATGGTGTGCCAGGACCCTGTTGTCCAAAATGCCCTCTACACTGGAAATGTACAAGCCGTGAAAGAGATCTTCTCAAAAGGCTTTCCTTCAGACCTGGTCATCCAGCCTCAAGGAGGAGCCATGCGCTGGAGAGCAAATGGAAAAGTGAGAGGTAAGAACTCAAGTTGTTTGAGTTGAGTTTGACTGTCGTGATTACTTGAACTGATTACCTCTCGGATCTAGTTGGCCAGACAGCATCAGGTTTCTGGACCTTTCTAAAGGTCATGCCAGGCGGCCTTAAAATAGCCACTATATCTAAAAACAGGCAACAGACTAAGCAAATATATTCAGGGCAATCATCTACAACATTGTGCCCAGTCTTAAGACTAACCCAGGCAATCAAAGAAGAGGCTGATTCGCACCTGCTCCTCGCTTTACCTCACACATGGGGCCGAAGATTAAGTTTCGCAAACAAAAGAAATATCGCAGCGATGTAATCGCGACTGCTCAGGCGTCAGGACTTATCCTCCAGTTCTGGAATGCGCTTCTGGTCGGAGATGACCTCACTGTTATTAGTATCGTTGATGACCCAGAATATGCTTATCTCTTAGATGCCATATATGACACCAGCAACATAGAGGAGTGGAAGAACTTCAGATTCAACTACAGAGGGCTAAGTATGTTACAGGGACACAAATAATGTGAAATTATGTTAAGATAGCTTGCTATACAAAATAGTTTTGCTGCTTGTTCAGTTTACTTAGTTAAAATGAGCTAAAGCAACAGAATTGATTTTTTATCACAACTGAATTCCATTGTGTTTAATTCATTAAAATACATAAAAATGAAGTTTGCTTAATTATTTTGTGTAATGTAGTTGTGTTGTGACTACATTAATCATTTTTGTTGCATTAACTAAAATGGCATGTGTGGCTTTATAGGGATGTATTATATAAAAATGTATTACTTATTATTTTTACTTATTATTATTATTTTTATTATATAAAAAAATTATTACCATAAAATATTTTTGTTAATTAAAATAAAATAAACAAAAGAAACTTCAAATATATAATACATATACTTGTTGGCAAGGAAAATTTTCTAATTTTCAATTAGTAACTTTATGTATTAAAATAACAAAACTGAATATCTATACACTCAAAAAAAACAAACAATGAAATTACAAAAAAAGGAATAAAAGAAAATACTAAATGACACAACAAAATCACTGAAACTTTTAAGCTAGGCCTTTCACGCTGTTTAAAACTGATTTAATGTAATTTTGACCCTAGGTTTGACCTTAGATAGACAGATAGACGGACGGACAGACAGATGGACGGACGGACGGACGGACGGACGGACGGACAGACAGACAGACAGACAGATAGATAGATAGATAGATAGATAGATAGATAGATTCTTATGCTCACCAAGGCTGTATTTATTTGATCAAAAATACAGTAAAAACAGTAATATTGTGAAATATTATTACAACTCTTTCTATGCTAATATATTTTAAAATATAATTTATTCCTGTGATGCAAAGCTTAAAAAAATAAAATACAAAATGAAACAACAAAATTACTAAAACTTTAAATCTAGACCTTTCACGCTGTTTAAAACTGATTCAATGTCATTTTTGACCCCAGGTTGAGGCCATTTTTAACCTAGGGTTAAGACTAACTTCTCACTTATAATTTTGAATGCACTTTAGCATATTTTAGACTTCCTGAGCAGGTTATTAAAATTGTGATGCCAAATGTGTGTTGCTGGAATGTTTACGGGAGCAGTGGTTCAACCACAATGATTGGCTGTCAATCATAAATTAGACAATGCAAATCTCATTAAATATTTATAGCTTTGTGTCAGTGCAAAAACTTGTATGCATTGTGTTCAGTTTCAGGTTCTGAGGAAACGTCTCAGGTTACTTATGTAACCATGGTTCCCTGAGTAAAACAACGTCAACACGGATGCACACATCCTTAAATGCTTTGCTAGTGCTCGCCATAATGAGATAAATAGAGATCACTTTTACCACAGAAATGCACGCTTCAAACAAAACAGTCAATGAAGATGAAGAAGAGAATGATGTGTAGCTCCCGGCGCCTATTTATACTATAGTCGCACCGGTAGTGACGTCATGGCTGTCGCCGGCCAACAAGTTGGTGTTTTTTCAATGTATGTTTCAGACACGGGTCACGACGAGGCGTTCCCCCCATAGCAACCCCTAGAGGACGCAGTTCGAAGTTCCCATGAAAGGGAAACGACATTCCCTAGAATGATGAAGCTGATTTTTTACAATGTTTCACACTTTTGAGGTAGATAGAATGATAAGACAATCTTATAAGTATGAAAATAAGAATATTAAACCAGGGTGAAATCTCAAACCTGACTAAAATTAATTACTAGCACAGAATATAGTCCAAAATGGCGTGAAACACGATTAAAATTGGTTAACGATTTTAAATGTAATTAATTTCTGTTCTCAAGGATCTTTATTGTCATGCACATTTAGTTGTGTCTGAGTATCCCATCAATGTATACATTCCTGTGCACGTACACAAGCACTCAAACTTTGTCACACTAGCACATCCTCATTTCCAGTATTTCCACGTCAGACTCACCTGCTGTCATAGTTATTTGTTCCCCTATGTGTTTCGGTTACACATAGATTGCTCTCTTCTTATTGCACCCACCCCGACTGTGTCTTTGAGGTTGTCTTGGGGTCTTTTTATGAGTTTGTGTTTATGTTTGTTCCCATGAAACTTACTGATACTGATCACAAAAATGAGCACTGCATAGGAGACAAATGCTACTGCACTTTGAGTATGACATTACAGTCACAATGCATCCTGAATGATGAAAAACAACCACATATGGTTTGGATGTGGCTTGAAAAAAATTATTTCATTTAAATAAAGGTAAATAAATAAAAGGATACATTAAATTGCTGATTTTTCCTGCTCACTGAATGCCATCCAGGCTAAAATACCTTAAATTTTCAAACTGTCCAGGCCTGTTCATGATTTCCTGATTGAAAATGAAATAAAGCTTCAGACTAACTGTAGTATTGAATATCTGAATCTTCAGATAATCTCATAACTCTGCTCTTTTTTCAGGACTGTGGTCATTGACGTACGAACAAGAGCTGACCACGCCACTGCACATCACCGCTGGCCAGGGTTTCACCGAATGTCTGCGGCATCTCCTAATGCGGGGCGCTCGAGTGGACCTGGCACCTGGGGGCACCACTGCCCTGCATGAGGCCTGTGAGGAGTGCCAGCCCGAGTGTGTCAAGCTGTTGCTGCAGCACGGAGCCAATCCCAACGCAACCAATGAAGACGGCCAGATGCCCCTGCACGTGTGCACAGAACTCGATTCACTTGAGTAAGTGCTTGTTCAGTATACAGTAATTACAGGAAATCCTGTGGTGAATTCTGTAATTTCAAATGACTGTCAGATTGACACTTGAAATGAAGGTACGCTACTGGACAAAAGTTTGGAATAATAAAGTTTTTTTTATGTTTAAAAAAAAAAAAAGGATCTTGTGCTCAACAAGGCTGCATTTATTTGATCAAAAACAGTAATATTGTGAAATATTATTACAGTTTTAAATAGCTGTTTTCTATTTGAATATATATTTTACAATATAATTTATTCTGGTGATGTAAAGCTGAATTTTCAGCATCATTACTCCAGTCTTCAGTGTCACATGATCCTTCAGAAATCAAATCAGATATGCAATGAATAAAAGCTGAAAACGGTTGTGCTGTATAATATTTTTGTGAAAAACCATGATACATTTTTTTCAGGATTCTTTGATAAATAGAAAGTTTATTTCATTTATTTCAAGTAGAAATAACAGCGTTCATTTCATATCAAAACTTTGTGATATTACTTTAATGTCACTTTTGATCAATTTAATGCATCCTTGTTGAATAAACTAATTTATTGTCAGTTTTTTTTACCCCGTCTTTTACCCAATCTTACCCCATCTTACCCCAAACTTTTGAATTACAGTGTATCATTGTTTTCTGTAAAAAATATGAAGCAGCACAATGGTTTTCAACTTTGAAAATAATAAGAAATGTTTCTTGAGTGCTTAATCAGTATATTAGACTGATTTCTGAAGGATCATGTGACACTGAAGACTGGAGTAATGATGCTGAAAATTCAGCTTTGCATCATGGATATAAATTACATTTTAAAATATATTCTAATAGATAACAATATTACTGTTTTTACTGTATTTTCAAATCAAATAAATGCAGCCTTTGTGAGCATAAAAGACTTCTTTCAAAAAAATAAAAATAAAAAAACTATTATACCAGACTTTTGATCAGAAGTGTAATTGACTTTGATGAGTAAGTAATATCCTACAAAATTTATATCGCTTATGCAGAATGTAATAGAGCCAGACTGAAGTTCTTGACATGTTTTTCCAGGTGTGCCAAACATCTACTAGCATTCGGTGCTTTGATCAACGGTCAGAGCTTGGATGATAACGACACACCCCTTCATGTGGCGGCCCGCCATAGCCTTCCTGATCACATGGAGCTCTACTTACGACACGGAGCTGCACTTAACCTACAAAACGAGGAAGGAAACACAGCGCTGAACGCCGCCTGCTCCCAGCCGCAGGACTGCGCGTCTCTGGAGCGCTACAGCCGTGTTTGCCACATGCTGGTATCTGCTGGGGCGGACATACATATCAGTGACGCGGACAAGCAGACTCCACTGCACATGGCATGTAAGAACGCCATCCCTGACGTGGTGGATCTGCTGCTGAAGTATAAAGCCTTGGTCAACGAAATGGATTACGGCGGCGACGCACCGATGCATAACATCCTGAAGGCGGTGGCCTACAAGATGGACCATGAGCCCGAGAGGATTGTACAGGCTCTTCTCAATTACGGATCCATCAGGGTGTGGCCTGGAGCTCTGCCCAAGGTCAGGATTGGACGAGAGAGCTTTCCATTCAAAGTCTCATTATATCCTTATACCTAGTCAAGGAATTCTAATGTTCCATAAAAATTCTGAACCAGTCTTAATGGGAATAAAATCCTTATCTAATAGTCACATTCTTGCTGGATATACTGACATTTTTGGTCACACTTTATTTTAAGGTCCAATTCTCAATAACAAACCATTAACTATGACTTTTGCCTCAATAAACTCCTAATTTGCTGCTTATTAATAGTTAGTAAGGCATAGTTAAATTAGGATTAGGGATGTAGAATATGGTCATGCAGAATGTGTGCTTTATAAGTACTAATAAACAGCCAGTATGTTAATAATAGGCATGCTACTAGTTAGTAGTGGTCCCTATACTAAAGTGTTACAAATTTTTATATTTTTCATATATTTATCTATATTTTATCCTTAATGTTCTTTGTTTCATTCTTATTTTGATTTATTGTTTAATTATCTAATCAGGACTGGTTCCAAATTATTTTAAAATTCCGTTGAAATTCTGATCTTTCAAAATACACTACTATTTAAAATGTTGGGTTCAGTAAGATTTTTATTCCTTTTTACTTTATTTATTTTTTATTTATTTATTTACTTAAAGGTGGGGTAAGCGATTTTTCAAAAACGCTTTAGAAA